AATAAACCCTCACTCGAATCACCAGTCGCTGTCTGCATTTTGGGTCCTCCTTTCCCTCCACACCACACGGCTCACCCCGCCAGCCGTGACAGTATCACTGTTATTATATTAATGGATTTCTCTCTAGAGCCTATTACTGTGTGCTAAAACTGCTAGAAGCATTTATTTAGACACTTCAAAACAATAGGTGTTAATTGCAAGCTATTTGCCAGAGTGTTGTTGCATTAATTACCCTCAAGACACAACCAAAGGTATTTCAATTGGGGAATCCCATTCTAAAAGTGTCAGTGCACTGCTGGCACTTTGGCATATGTACTATGGTCCAGATTTTGTGGACACAGGCTTACTCCAGAGTTCTGTTTCCCCGATTTGATTTGATTAACTGTTGTTCCTGAAGGGGAGCAAATACATAAAACCAGGTTCCTACAACTTGCTAAACCTTTCCAAATCTTCCCAAAAGATGCAGATTAATGTCCACTGTTTTTAAATGAGAGGTCACATATGTATTTGGCTGTGGAATACAACCATATCAAGCATCTGGCTTTGAAAATTACTCATGAATTGCACACAAAAGAAAGGCCTTCCAACACAACAGTAATAATACGTGTTTCTGGGAAATCAGAAGATGCAGATGAATAGAAAAATAAAACGGAAATCTTTGCCAAGAAGTCACAGCGTAAGAAAGGAAACGTTTAGCTCATTTGCCCGTAGTTCCAAATTTGGCTTGTGAACTCAGAGCTGTCAGCAACGTGGCCAACATTTAATTTAAGGTAAGAGGAGCAGTCAGTGTCACTCTCCTGTCGGGAGCACAAAGATATGATTTAACCAGCTGGCAGTGAGCAGGGGGACGACACACCAGTGAGTCACAGACAAAAATACTCTGTTTACAACATTTCTCTTGTGTAGCTTCCAGGACTGTGAGATCGAATGCAGCTCTGCTTTGAGGATGTTTGGAGGAAGAGGACAGAGTTCCTTTGACGGTTATGTACTGCCAACAGTCTCAGAGTCATTAATTAAGTTTACTTTTAAATATTTATGTGATGTTATGGGGGGGGGGGGTTCCCAGTATTGGAAAAATGTAAGCCTGCGGTATAAACTGACATACTTTAAGCACCTTCTGCTTCATTAATTCGGTCTGTTACAGCACTCTTATTAACTTTGCCTACTAAAGTGACATTAATATCTCAACACTCAGGAGCTGTGGCAGTATGTGGACAGAATGTCTGCACAACAATGCAAAACACTCATGCAGATTGTGTCTGCATGCATTTGAGTTTCTACATCGAAAATAAAGAATACTACAGCATCTTTGCAACTGTTAGCCTGCATGCGCATATAGGCCCAATAATAAAGGTGCAAAGTTTTAGTTTTTAACATCACTGCTGGTTAGGGCACTCTGTGTTTTTAATTAACAGACAAAACTACTGTATTGTTTTATTATCATTGCCCTCATTTTCATCATTTTTTACTAACCAGCGAGGACCTTTAAGCAGATAAATTCCAAATTAAAAAAATAGAGGAAAAGGAGAACAAATCAGAGCTTGAAAAATAGTGAAAATTGAATTCTAATGAATGTTATTGTTGTTCCATGCCAAGTGGCTCTGTAACTGGGCAAAGGCTCAGTCACACTGGATTAAAAATAGAACAGCAACCTCAATGCAACTGGAAATTGGTAGCTGCCCTTTGATTACACTAAAGAGACTGATTGCAAGTAGTTGCACAGACCAAATAATCAGCCACTTTTGATTGCAAGGTGAATGGACAGGTCACCTGGTGGAAGGCAACCTGTCTCAACACAGCTACAGTCCAGCTCTGACTGACTGCAGTCACTCAGATTCATTAGAGAAGGTTTGCAAATCGTTGCCTTCTAATTTATAAATGCAGACAAACTGCCAACAGTTTGCAATTAGTCTGAGTCAGCTTGCACCAGTAATGTTTTAAATAGAAAGGCTGAATCAACTGGTTGCCAACTGGTTATATTGCAATTATGTTCCAATATATAAAAAAAAAGACCACTGAGACCCTGTATCATTTTGGGATTTTGGCTGATTCTTCATATTTAATCACCATATTATCACAGAACGACTGCCCAATTGCCATTTTATTGGTATATTGCTTGATTTGCAACTGGTTTCAGCTAAATGCAGGTGGCCACCATCTTTAGAGCAACCGTTTCAAAGACAATGAGACTGCAAGCTCATTGCACACAGCTATGGCAGTTTTGGTAAGACTCACAGTCTCCAACATGTTCCCTATATCACCCTCAAAGGTGATACAGATTTGGTGTTTGCAGCTTATTTCTACTTTTAAAAAGTGCTTTACCTACAAGTATTTTTCTTTTATCATGCAGGTGTTTGGGGATTCACAGAACCCTCGATGCGATACAGTAAGATACAATCCATGATAACAATCACTCTACAACACTACTACAGCTAGCAAAATCGAAGATATGAATACCACCAAAAAAAAAAAAGTAAAAGCAGTAGCTATGTGTGTATTCACAACATTTTGAGATAGGTTGTGTTTGTATTTTTATGTATGAATATTACTGTGTCAGTTCTTTTTATTAGCTCTCCGATTAGCTTTTTCCTGCTGATTGCCACTTCATTAGCTGGATTCTTCTGTAAAACGCCCCCACCAGGAGTCATAAAGCAGGGATCTTGGCAACTCAAAGTGGTGCATCACAAGACGATATAATAAAATGTAGTGCTACATGTGTTTTACATGTGTTTTATGGCCACACTTGAGGTGCGTGCCATCTTGGAGATGTGTGTCAAAGTGTAATCGTCTGCGCACACAGACACACAAACACATTGCCCACTCACTCACCTTCCAGAAAGCAGAAAGGAGAGCCGGTCAATGGGGGTCTTTCCTTCCACAGCATAAGTCTCTCCTGCTTTCAGCTCGAGCACCTTGTTCTCAAAAGCCTTTGCAATCTCCTTGAACACCTGGACAGGCACGCCCAGGGGCAGGTAGACCGCCTGGTAGAGGGAGGCCAGCTCCTCACCTCGTATGCCCTCCTGGTGCAGCCGGTAAAGGAGGTGACAGAGCTGAAGCAAGCAGACCAGCAGTAGAAGCAGGTTCCAGGTGAAGACATCCAGGCCGCACACTGTAAGCAATCCCCACAGAAGAAGACACAGGAAACCGGGACAAAGGAAGCCGAAGATGAAGAGGCACCCGTAGGCCCCGCTTCCTCCCATGTAGCCCAGAAACAGGATGGTGTTGCCCAACTGGTAGATGGCTCCCTCTGTGTTGTTGCTCCAGCCATCGCAGAGAGGGGGAAAGAGCAGGCTGTCCAGCAGGCTAGAGTTGTCTGCACTCATGTTTAAATCTTTTCGAATAAGTTCTGGAAAGGTTCTTGGTGCACAAAGCAAAGTTTGTTTGTTTTGTGGGGGATTTTTTAAGAAGGGACCAATAAGACTTGTTTTCCACTCAAACTAAGCGCTGTTTCTGTCCTATTACTAGATCATCTGTTTGGATTACAGCTTGATTAAAAATAAACAGCCTGATACTGACCAAAAATGTCAGAGGTAATTGTTTGTTCCCTTGGCGTGCAGCGGCAGAAAATTCTTCACCATGAAGATGTTATCACGACTCTATTTGTTGCAGAAACACAGCTGGAATGGGTTTCCTCTGTTTCTTCTCCTCTCATCATGCGTCCCTACCTCTCTCCTCTGGCTTCTCTCGTCTTTCCCTTCCAAGTTTTCCTGTAGTCTTTCTTGCTGTGCTTTTCTGTCTCTTTTTCTCACCCTCTGGCCTGCACTGTAGAGCCACCAGCTGGAAGAGAAAGGGATAAGGGAGGCAAGGGGGGGGGAGTCGATAGGGCCCTAGAAGGATAACCATGTTTGGAATTGAAACCCAAGGAGGACAGAGTGGCAGACAGAAAGCAGGCCTGCTACTTAACATAACAGAAAGAGAGAAAGAGAGCACAAGAGAGACAGAGAGGGGAGAGGGAGGCAGGAAACAGGAGGGAGAAGAGGGACTATAACAAGTAGTATCTCAGAGAGACTCACAAAGTGTCACCCACTTTTTTTTATCTGACAAAGAAGTTCCTCCAGGGGGGTTCAGAGTTTCACACAGGCTTCACTGAGTCCAGTTTGCTCACAGGAAGTGTGGCTCTGCTGGTGCATATTTAGAGACACTGTAATAAGTAGGATGGCAGCTCAGGTCAGATTTCAGGTATAAACACACACCAACATCGCCTCACATATTCAGCTCTCAGTGTGTGGACAGCTCACAGGGACTAAATATCAGTCTATATGAATATTGCTCAGTGAAAATAAGAATGAATGCGATTTTAAAATGAAAACTTTGCAATGGAAATTAATATTAAGATTTTCACACCTAGTAATCAGGAGAAAATAGATTGTGTTATCAATGAGTTAAAAATTAGCAAAGTGTTGATTTTCAAGGTACAAGAATACAGAACTCCATATATTCAGCAACAGTGCTTCCAGTTTTTGACAGATTTTTCTTTCTCTCCGTTTGGCTGTTTGTGTCGCTGTTGCCCTGCCAGTTGTCTCTGGTTAACAGGAAGACAGCAATCTGAATCCTAGTGAATAAAAGCAGATGAAAGCTAGATGGGCTTCTTACGTCTATGAGTTCCTTTAGGGTACAGCAAGTGATGAACCAATATATCAGCCAAACATCAATATTGGCAATCAGGAGACACACTGTTTGCAGTACTAAATGATCAGAGATAGTGTAATCAAAAAAAGGACTTTAAATTCAGTGCAATAAAAGTTACAGCCAGACGTGCTTTTTCCTCCTGTCGGGGTGGAGGGTGTGTTTTCAGTGCAATTTGTCGGAGAGGTGGATCACGTGCAAAAGAAGAAAGCAATAAATGTAGGCGAATTTCTCAATTGCTTCATTTTTAATTTGAGAAAAAGAGCTTTGGTTTTTGCATTCTCCATGAGCACCCTTCTGTGTAAGACTTCTCTCATTTGTTGCCGACATAAAATTATGAATGTTTGCTAAGTGAACAGATAATCTCTCGTTTTAAGTTAGTATAAGCATGCGCTGAATTAAGAATTTACATGATTTGAGGTGACTTTTAAACTGCTGACTGGCAACATATATATAACATAATAGTTTCAAACTGCAAAATTATAAAACACATTAAATTAGAAAATGTAAATTGTAACCTTATGTTAATAGGAAAGATTGTTTATACAACCTGTGTACAGTAATGAATCTTTTATAGTAATAATTTTACTTTACACTTCCTACATGACTACTGAGGGACATTTACTATGTTTAAAGTGGTCCTATATATGCAATGGTATACATATACATAATTATGTATGTATATATTCCCTTCAGTGTGGGCATAATATGAAGTGAATTAGGAGCATTCCTTTCAAGTGTTTTTTCAAAGTGTGAAAATAATGTCCACAGCCAAGCACACTTCAGTGACAGTGACACACTGTGGAAAAAGAATGCAGATATGCAAAGTATTGACTTTGCAGGGGCAAGAGTTATTTTTAACTGTAAGTGCATACCAGGAACAGCAACTGTGGCAAGCAACCGTTTCCCTTGGCAGAACAGATCTTCAATGCAAACCTTAAGATGAGTGCACGACTAATAAAAAAACCTTCACAACAAGTTTATTGCATAGGATTTTTATTCAATGTCACATCAGAATTTCTCAGATTTTGCAGACTTGAAAAAATAGTTTTCGCACAGTTAATCCAACAAAAGGTATAAATAAGAAGTGCAGGGGGGGAGCGAAGAAACAAATACCCAGGGTCACCTTCCACACACAGCAACACACTGCAAGAGACCAAAATGCACACAATCAGCAATTCACATGACTACTACATCACACTTGACGCTGTATGCAAGTGAAAATCTGGAAGATATTTTATTTTAATTGAGCTGCCCTAAAAAGAGCTGCCCTGGCAAAAGGGGAAAGCCGTTAAACCCAGTATAAACAAGTAACGCTGATACCACAGTAAGGTCCGGCTTTTTCATGGTTCACAGAAAGGTCAGGTGCCCACTTTCACGCCACACTGACTCTATTCAAACATATATTCAGGCTGTCAAAGCACATTCAACTAGTGGCATGGAAACTCAGTGTGCACCCATCACATGCAAGTTTCATTTCAACAGTATGAATAATAATAATGATGATAAATGTGTGCCACTCAAAGTTCTTGCAATTCTATATTTATATTAAAGCTCACAGCAACATGTTCTAGTGTGGTATTTAATCGCTACAAATGACTCTAGTTCTCTAGAAAAATTAAAACACTGGGACAGTTTGAAGTGGTTTTATTCAATACTTACCACACAAGCACGCACAGAAGAACTAGTTAGACCTTGAATCCAAGTGCCCTCATGCAGTCTTTGTGTGCCTCAATAAGGTCCCTGCAGCTTTCCTCTCCCTTTTCAATGATGCTGGTGGAAACAAACATGATGGATGAATAAACATTCTCACTTAAAACGAGAAGACCATTTCAATTTCTCTGGCCAGCTCCTCACCAAGCATCCCTGACTTTTTTTGTTTCTGGACATGCGCAGCATGGCTTCAGTGGCTTCTTCTGCTCTGTGCTCTCAGTCACAGCTGCAGTCCCAACGCTGGCAGCAGACAGGGCTGACATCTTCTGACTGAAACAAGGAAACGAGCTGACTTTTGAGAACTGGCAAACTTTAACCACTGAGTGATATGCGTGTATTTTCACTCAGGCTTAGATTTACACACGTCTTTATCAGCTGACAAACACTTTTCACAGGGATGCTGGAATATGCAACAGGAATTTTCCTTCACATGTCAAATAAAGAGGTGTGAACCGACTGTGATCCCATGAATTGCTTTAGCTTTGTTTTAATATTCAACGAAGGACAAATTGATATTTAAAGACTAGAACACGGGATGAGGAAAGCAATGCCACTAAAATACTCCAAACACTCACGGTCCAACCAAAAAGCTCATAATGATACAAAATACAGTTAAATAAAAGAAAAATGTGAGGATTCGCCAAAGTAAGCCAGTATTTTATATTTTTTGGTGTCGCTTCATTAAGACGTTTCATAAAACTGCTAATCAACTAATGAAACGTCCTACCATTACATTTATGCTGCTGCTGAAGGCGCCGAACTGATGCAATGATAAGGTAGTTATGTAGTTATGATTAGGTCAACCGGCAAAGTCACCACATGCAACACACAACACATGACTCTGAAGCATCCGAGCCTTCAGAGTTGCTCATAATAATTTAAAACAAACAAACAACAACAACAGCAACAACAAAAACCCTCTGTTTGCCTCAGTGTTGTGGTTTACTAGCTTTATCTAACCCTTGTTGCGTAATGTTACTGTCAGCTAACAAAGTTAGCTCACGGTGGCTAACAGTGATGACATAACTAATAACATACACACAACATACAACATGGCAGACAAGCGTTTCGCCCAAACCTACTCAAGCCGTAATGTAGCAGTTAAGCCACCTGCTCGTTATTAACGTAGCTAAGCTATATTGTGTAACGATCTCTTACTTGTATGAGGAGGCCGACACTGCCGCCAGTACACAGACGATTCACCTTCAATATGGAACTAACATGCGGGAAACACGTGGTCGCGTGTCAAAGTCACGTGACTATGTCATGTGCCGTGTTAGAGACTTTTGGGAAATGTAGTACTGTATTACCACCAGGCAGACAGGTATGTGAATGTATGGTAAACTTGTTAGATGCATGCTGAAATTATTCTCAGTGCTGAATATTCAAGCATTAACTTATGTGTTGCTTATTTATTGATTGGTTTACCTTTATTAGCTAATTTTATTTTTTTAACATTAACTTACACTTAAAATTGAAACCCTTAGCTAAAATAGCTTAAGACGATGCTAAGTTTAAGACTTCTTTTTTAGTTAGTTAGTTTGTTAGTTAGCTAGCCAGCTAGTTATCTCTCATATTCTAACACTGGGTCAGCCTATTTCAAATATTCTGTTTGAATATTGGATCACAAATAGTTATGTCCAACTAATGACCCCTTTTGATTGTTAAAAGTTTTTCATAGTTGAGGTTTAATTTGGCCAAAAAGACCAAAACAACTGTATTTCTTGTAATAGGTAGGGCATCTATATAGTCCTACACAATGTAGGACAATATAGTTGAATAAAAGACCCAAATATCACATTACAGATGTAACAACAAGAGAAATGTTGCTAAATAAATTATGAACTATATAACTATAACTGCCTATATTTCCACTGAAAAAATACACATACACATCAAATTATGAAAGCAATATTATGAAAATTACATTATATATTTACATTTACTTAGACAGTATAAAGAAAATGTGCAAAACCTGCTTGGTATAGAGTACAGAATACATCTGAAAAATGTTTCAAACTGTACCTAATCATTTCTACAGGTGCTAATGCTAAAATGTTCTTAAATTCCCACTATATTATGTTCTTCTGTTTTCTGTTTTGCAGACAGACAGAATTAGTACATTAGAAAAAGGGCAGCTGACATTTATGATTCAGGATATCAGGTTCATCCACATGGTCGACATCACCAAGCATGAAGTTCTATTGCACCATGGTATTAATGATATGTCAGTGCTGGATGATTGCAGATTATTGAGTCCAACCTCAAACATTTAACTTTCAAATGTTCACATTTGAGTAGCTGCAACCAGATTTTTAAAAAATATTTTTATATTAAAAATTAGAAATAATTTGTTGCAGCATCACGCTTCCTATAAAACCTACACTTTAGTAATGAGCAGGAACGTGTACACTCAGAAAATTAACATCAGCACTGCACAGATTTTATTTTTCTACACAACTCTGTAAGATATTCTGTTATGTAAGACGCAGTTGCTGCTGGTGGGCGCAATATACACAATGTTGCCTCGGGAGTTTAGGAATATGAAAAATGTTCATTTTCGGACCTGCAGAAAGGTATGTGTGTGCTTCAACATGTCCACTGGGTTTATTGTGCGTCAGCACAACAAAGCAATGCGTAAGCAGCGGCACTGAGTCACTTACTCTAGTTTGAGGGCCAGCTGTGTGCTAGATAAATAAGCAAGTAAGCATATTGTTCTGTACTGTGATACATGCACTTCCATTTTCTGCAGTCTTTGCTATGCTTTCCACTGTATTACTGTATATATGACACATATATAAATGCATATGTTGTCTGCAATTTATGCTCAATTTGATCCAAATACTGTTTTGGTGTTCACAAATGGAAGACAGCCACAGTTTGAGTCCTGATCGCCCGATGCCTTGTTGTCCAGTTGGCAGAAAACTTTCAGCAGCTTCTGACAAATGTAGGCCTCCTATTTTACTATTGTTTGATTAGTATTTGAAACAGAGAACTTGTGACATACACTGAAAACAAAGAAGGGCAGTTGCAACTAAACTGCAGGTTGAGTTACTCACTGAGCTGTTTTTGTCATGGCTTTCTAACAACCATGCAGTCATCCAAAGCATGCATCGGGGACAATCTGAGGTTCAATATCTTGAAAAAGAATGAACCGGCCGAGTTTCTGATTAGCAAACAACCAAATGTACCTCCTGAACTACAGATGTCCTGAATGTGTTGTGTATGTTTTAATGCCAGAACTGGAAGTTGAGGCTTACAGAGTGTGTAATGTGTTAAATCCATTGTTTGTATCCTATATTAATATTGTTTTACTTAACTTTACTAAATTAACCATAGCCAAATACACCATGAAAAAAATATAATACATTCTTAGTCATAGAAAATCACTGGAAAAGCAATTTATGTTGTTTTTGGAATGTCGTAAAAACTAAATTCCTTCCTCACCGTTATTAATTTATTAGTTTTTGGTTTCAGTAATCATTTCCTCTGAAGCAAACCTACACATCACCGTCACTCAACCAGATCTCTGCCAGACATTGCTTTATTATTTGAAGACATGTAGCCTGAATTTAGTGCTTAACATGTACATGTCAGTGAAAGTAAAAACTACATCAGTATGACATCCAGTAATCTCGTAAAAGTCTTTTTTTACATTTGAGGTCACAAAGGACTGAAGCCTATTTTAGGACACACACTGAGGGAAAGACACTGTGCACCTGGACAGGTTGGCACAGGTCTAACACACACACACACACATCAATCACGTCAACAGCATTTCCCTTGCAAATCTGCAAAGTCTGGACTCTAACAGAGAGAATTTTTTCATACACGACCATTTTTATTGTTTCCTGTACCCTTCTCCACAAGGACAGTTGTACAAAGTTATTAAAAAAGATTTCATCTCATAAAATGTAGCTCACATTATTAGACACATCCCATGGCCTAAGCTGCCAGTAATTCACCGTACCCACTGACACGGTCTCTAAGTTAATCCCACTGTGCTGGCACAACCTCTAATATCAGTTTTATTTTTCGTTTGTTAAACTAACAAGTTTGCAATGAATCCCACCCACCCAACAGAGTTCAAAAAAGATCCAGGTAAATCATCTCCAAATTTTCCATTTTGTCATCCAGGGAAATAAATATTTCAGCCTTTGTTTTGTTTTCTGTTACTGATGTGATATGTGCAAACAAACAACATGGGCTGGCTCAAAGCTGCATGCATATGTACAGCATCAGGTATCACAGTACAGGGTTTAATTACATCCCCAGTTAGAGGTGGCCCAGGTTGAACTTGTCCCTGTACATGCTGCCAGATGTATATTTCACATGACAATAACTGCGATCCCTTCCCATCCCCTGTACAGGCACACACCCATCATTGTCTTTGGTATTAATGTGAGCTGGACCTTGCCCTCTTGACACGGCTTGATTTATGCGAGGATGAGACACAGATACTGAATAGTTGATGAGCTGGGTGAAAAAGAAAAGAAGTGTAAGGGGGGAGTGGGGCAGAAATAGAGAGAAGCAGACGGAGAGGGTGCGGAGGGAGGGAGGGATCGAGCAGAAAGACGGGTATCCACTCGCCTCGCTCCGCACAGCTTCAATAAGCCCTGAGGTTGGGAGCCTTGTTAGAATATTACCTTGTGACCAATAGGAGAGGTCAGAGCTGGTAGAGTCAGGCTCTACTCATCCTCAGAAGAGGCAGAAGCAGCAGTAGCAGAGGGGAGGATGGCATTCGGCTGATCACAGGGAACTAAAGTTGGCCATGGAGAAATTGAAAGGTCCCAACGTAGCATGCACTAAAGCCAACTGTGGATGGAGAGCCCTGCTTCTCCCGCAACTGAACAGACAGTCCCTGTACGTGTATGGCAGCGAGGTGGCCGTGGAGAAGGAGTGCATCCGACAGCTGGAGAGTGGAGTCTTTGTCATTCACCCTTTCAGCCTCATGAGGTATTTAATATATCTGATAGATTGAGGTCAGTCATGCATATCACGTCCACTGTTTCTTTGGTCTGTCTCTGCAAGTTTTTATAGTTAACTTAATTTCTCCCTTACATTTAATGAATAATTATACATGTTATAGTTCAGTTTTTGGAGTATTTACTGGAAATACAAAGGTGCAATGCATTAACTTGTTCCTTTGAATATTATTAGAATAAGTGCATTAATGAAAACAAATATAGATACTGCGTATAGATTTACTGAGTACCATAAGTTTACCATATTCCATAAATCCCACCGTTGTTGGATGAGACAGAAGAGGAATTCCTCTCGTGTCCTCTAGTTTAAACTTTTAAAGTGTTAAATGCTAAACAGTATTTATTCATCCAGTCATTAATTGGCAATGAGAATGATTTTCTTCTGATATTACAATAGAGAAAGCCTTAGAAATAAAGCCGACAATAAGATGCATTATTTTTAGGATAAAAGGAAACAAGTACATTTTGAAGTGACGCAAGAAACCTAAAAGAACGATCCAAGGTTTATAAGAAATAACCGAGTTAGAAGAAAAATACGGACCTATCAAATGACTTCTTTAAGGAAGAGCTGGTTTTGTATTATATATGCAGGATTGCTGATATTAATCCGTCTGTAAGATGATCAGATGGAGGGAAATTAGAGAGGGAATGAAACAATTGAGATCAGAGAGCAGAGTTATTTGAGCCTGGCAATCGCACCCTGGCTGAGGAGATGTACTTTCCACTACACTGTGACATGGAAAATAAGAGTTACTGGAAAGTCACACATATGTTTTTGTGGTCATTCCTCCCCTAGGAGTTACTACATCTTGATCATGATGGTCATCACATTTCTGAACCTGATTGGGATTCCCATGGAGATAGCCTTTCTGGACGGAAACAGCGGGCTGGCATGGGAAGGCTTTAACGTGTTTTCAGACACTTTGTTCCTAATAGATGTGGCACTGAATTTCCGGACGGGGATCATAACCGAGGACGCAGAGGTGAGAGTGGCTATATTCTATTTTCAGACACAATCTGGGAGTCTATAATCCGGGTGCAGACGAGCACATACATTCCATCTCTGCACCATCTGTAATCTACTCGATACACGAAAGGCTAGATTAACGGCACCCCCCTTAGCTCCTGGACACGGGCGAAAACGGCTACTGCTGTTTGATTTTATAACGGGGATTATGATGTTGTGGATGAATGAGAAGTATAACATTTCAAATTAAGTATTATGCGCTATATATCCTGTTTGTTTTCGCTGGCTGGTGTTTCGTGACTTCTGTCTTCCTAATGGCCCATCTGTGATGTTTTTCCTGTGTTTATTCTCGACCGCACATCTGGTTTTGCCAGATTTACTCTTGGTCTGCTTGAAATATTGATGCGTGTGCCTCTGTAACATTTTCAGAACCCTGCCAAGCTCGTCTGACATCACACTCGCTTACTTTTGGATGAACTCGCCAAATATTGTTTTAGTTCGAGTGTTAAATTATACATGCGATTGTAGCACATCTATCTGCTCACTCTGCTGCTCTGTTCTGTTTTACAGGAAGCAATTTTGGATATCAAGCGAATCCGAGTCAGCTACCTGAGGACATGGTTCATTCCAGACGTCATAGCAGCTTTCCCAATTGGCTACATACTGCTGTTTGCGGTAATAATAAAGAGGAAGAGGCAGGAAAAGCCAACACTGTACTTCTTCTGTACTGTATATGTTAGCACTTAGAAAAGCAAGAAAGCCTTGCTGACACTTATTAATTAAGCAAAGTTGTAAATGAGCAAATGAGGTGGATTAAGATTCTAATTGCAGCATTTTTAATGTACAATGTCAGGGACTACATTACCACAACGATGACAACCCCTCCAAGACCAACAGGATGATGAGGATACTGATGTTTGTGCGGATCCTCAGTTTAATCAGGCTGGCTCGAGTCTCCAGGCTGGTCCGGTTCTTCAACGAAGTGGAGAAAGTAAGTTTAAATGGCAGATAGTCGTCAAAGCTCACCTCTGAAATTTGATCAGCCTTTCTCCTCCCTGCTGCCAATACTTTACGGCACCGGGCTCTAGTGACAAATCTGACACTTAGCCATGTCACGCTCGTGCACTGATGGGCAAAATGCTTATTTGTGAAGTGAATTTGCCTATTGGTGTTTAGTAAACAGTAAATACAGAAACACTGGGCTCAATCAACATGGGTTTATGGAACAAATGGTCAATATAATGACAGTTTCATATAGAACAACACTGTTGTCTCTCTGGCAAGGGGTTTTTATTGCATTATCTATGTTTGTTTATAAACTGGTAGTTGCAATAATAAATGGTTTGTAGTGTGCGTTTTGTTGGGGGTTCCCATAAATCCTGGAAACTTTATGCTGTTTTTCTTTTGATGAAAGCTGCCTGTCTCATCTCTAACAGATCGTGCAGCCAAAAGTCTGGGCTCTGTTCAGGAATCAGATCGTGTTAGAATGGCAGGCTGAGGGTTAATGTAGTTTTTTATCAACACATCGCTCGCGTTTTGGAGGTGTTCTTGTTGCAGTAAGCTTTTTGTCTATTCTCTTGTCCGTTGTGGCAGTTTGTGGCATAAATATCTGTGGGTAGTGTGCTTTTAACTGACTGGTAAATTAGGTTTGGATCAAGAAATCTGTCCTTAGAGCATATTTTGAGTTTATTAAAAAACATTATCTTTTTTTCTGAAGTCACATTAAGCTAGAAATACAAGCAGTTGAATGATCAAACATGTACATTTGCACAAGAAAATGATTAAACCACGTGTTCCTCGTAGTTTACACATCAACGTCCCACTCCAACTTTGAGCTTGTCTTCTTACAGCAGTTGTGTTCTCCCAGCCTTCCTTTGCAATTACCATTATTTTACTTGCAAATAAAGTCCATTGCATATATTTTACTCTCCACTTGTGTAGGGTTGGAGCCAGCTGTGATAGGGTGAGAGGCAAGGTACACCTTAGTTTGGTCATCAGACCCATCACAGGGCTAACAAACGAGGTGGTTAAGATAATCTGACTAAACTGCCGGCTCACTTACAGCCTAGCTCCTCATGTTTCTCGTACCATCTGACCTCGCTGTATTGAAGTGATCGTGCAATGTTGTATATTTCAACAATGAACAAAACTATTAAAGTAAGACCTGGGTTCTAATAAACCAGAATGATAAAAAGGTCAAATTGATCCTTCAAGCTTGCCCAATAAATAACTAAATCATGGCTGTTCCACACCCCAAAACAACAACATTCATATTCACTCACTGTAACAGTGAGTGAATATGAATCCTTAATACAGTAGAAAGAGCTGGCTGACCCTAAAACAAGTGTACACCCTGTTTGCTGCTGCAAAGATGTCCACTCGGTCAAACACTCTATCAGTACAGTGTAATGCTGTGTATTACCCGCTGACCAAGTGTCGTGTACCCTTTTCCTGACAGGTGTCAAATGCAAACCTGGAGGTGGTTCGCCTGTTCATCCGCATCATGTCTCTCTTCACAATGATTTTCCTGCTGTGCCACTGGAACGGATGCATCCAGTATTTTGTGCCTATGCTGGAGGAGTTTCCCAACGACTGCTGGGTCCGCAAAGAAAACCTGATGGTGAAGCTCATTTTACACATCAGTGCTTACTGAGATGTTTTGTAGCTCTCACTTTGTCTTCAATGTAGACAATTAAGGACTGTAAAAATGCAATAATGAGAAAAAGAGAAAAAAAATTAACAATGTTAACCCCTGTCTTACAATGATAAATAATAGACAATAATGACTGAACCTTTCCTTTCAGAATGCCACGGTCATCGTTAAGTACTCATGGGGTGTTTTCCGAGCTCTCTCCCAGATGATTGCTCTCTCTTATGGCTCTATGGACGCTCCAACAAGTTAGGAGTTTAAGTTTTCTTTCTCTGCCACTTTAAAAAGCAAATATGATCTATATTCTCCGTCAGATGTGAACACTCAACTGCACTGGCATGTCTTTGTTTTGTTCTCTAGATTATGTTGAAATGTGGATCGTCATGGTCAGCATGGTGTCCGGATGTCTGATGTACACCGTCCTCGTGGCCAATGCGACAGCCATGATCGCCAACCTCGACCCAGCAGCCAAGGAGTACAAGAGCAAGGTCTTCATGGGTGACACTTATACTCCTTAAACAGCAAGTACAGTGTAGAATTAAACAGGTTAAACCGACTAAAAACGGGGGGAAGCACTGCACAGTATCTACTTTCTGCTTGGCTAAGATGCCCTAAGCAACTAAAGCCATGATTTAGTTCCTGGCTCACCAAACCTTTGTCATTCCTCTACTTTCTGTCAATTCTACCTGAATTCTATCGGAAATAATAGAAATTAGCAGTAGTGAAGATATATTGATGAGTTCCTTTCAATATATGTAATTTTTAAATGAATTTTTTTCCCGATTAATTTAGACTTTTTGTAGTTAGATTGAACTTTTATTGACCAGTAATCACTTATCGTTATTCTGAATTCAATTGTTCAAGTAATATATTTAAAACTTATGATATAATCTATACATGGTAATCTAATGTAATATATTCTATCCATCTTCAACAGATGAGCCGTTTGGAGCACTACATGACCTTCATGAAGCTCCCTCCAGAGTTGCAGCTTCGCATCAACAACTACTACCAGGCTCGCTATGGAGGGAAGTGGTTTGACGAGAAGGACGTCATGGACACCGTGTCCTCAGCACTCAAAGAGGTATAGATGGGGTTATTGCTAATCTCCAAACTGGCTGAGATTGATTTGTTTTGGTTGATCTCATATTGATATCTATACGAGATGTCATCCTCATTATCACAGATTCACAGTTAGGCTTTTGGTCACATTCACTCAGTGTACATAAATATCTGTTTTTCATTCATTCTTTAATCTTGCCTGAACTGAGTGTGATTTGTTGTTTCTTAGCTCACATCTATCTTCATTTGTCATACCAAGCTTTGTGTTTGTTCATTTGTGTGTATTTTTCAGCAAATTGTGACAGTGATGTGCAGCCGGCTGCTGAGAAACGTGCCGATATTTCAGAACAGAGATCAAAGCTTTATCAACACCGTCCTGCTCAAACTGCAGTACGAGGTTTTCCAGGAAGGAGACGTCATCGTCCGACAGAATGTCCCGGGCGACCGCATGTTCTTCATCGATCACGGCCAGGTCCTTGTGGAGACCGATTCCTATGAAAGGGAACTGTGTGATGGAGACTTCTTTGGAGGTGAGTTAGATTTACTCAAATATAGTTGTTGCCGGTGTCTAATAATAATTCGTGAGCTCTAAGACAGGCCTTGCAAAACAATTAAAAAAATAAATGGTGATGGTTAGGGGTTCAATTTTAGGCACGTGTCATGTGTTTAATTTGAAAAGCTTCCAAATTATTTCCTCTGCAGAATATTTATTATTTGTTTTTTTGTTGCCATTTGTGTTTTAGAAGAACAGTGTTGAACCAAAGTGATTAAATCTTCTCGTTTTTTGCCAATTTGGCTGACTTCTTTAATTCCCCATCATTACATGTGCACACTTCCAAATCTTTTTGGCAGCAGATCTCTGCGACGTTTAAAGCTTAGCAGGCCTCCCTCGGACAACTCAGCTTTAATTTAGGATTAATTGTCAGATCTCATCCCCGTCATGAGATTTTATTTGCTCATTAACCACAGTCTTACGGACCCTTCTGTGTGTACAGAGACATGTGTGCTGAACAAGGGCAAACATCTGGCCACAGTGAAAGCACTGACCGACTGCCAGTGTTTCTCTCTGTCCTGGGACGACTTTCAGGATGCGCTGGAGGGCTTCCCAGATGTCAAGAAGGACTTGGAAAAAATGGCTCTGCTCAACTCTGATGGTGGACTCGTGTAAGAACAAAAACAGCACTTGGAATTACAGTATTACCTAAAAGGACGACGCGTTTCTTGGGCATTTTAGGTAGTTGCGTCATGGACCATGAGACTCACCCACATGGACGCCAGTTGGACTCTTATTCAAGGACATTATGGAAAGTTTTAAAGTCTTTCAATCTAGGAATTATTATGTCTGCTGATTCAACAGTTATCAGTAATAAACAACAGTAAACATGGTGAAGGATTTGATCTCAGCCACCTTCTTTTCCGTATCTCAGTAATGAAGCTTATCCTCGTTTAGTGTTTACATGGAACACAGAGAAATCTGGTCATTCACATCCTTATGGTCATAGGAAATACTTCTCATTAATTCATCTTTGCTGTAGGCTGTATGCACATGTGCCTGCTAGCCTTTCACCCTTCCTCTCTTTTTCATTTTGAAAGACAACACTTATGCTATAAAATAGACACTTTTGTTGCTAGGCAAATCGTTTCTATTACGTCAGCTGTATAAGTAAGCAGCAACAAGAAACTGGGCACTCCGGCTATTATAGGATTTCTCTAGACTGGGGTAAGTTCTTAGACAGGTTATGGAAATAAACAGGATTTTACATTCATACTAAAATACTCAGTCAGGGCATATTATTTGTGGCAAAAGAATAAAAATTTGGTCAAATGTAAGCAATAAGGAGAACAGTAGTTTTACACTAATTTGGCTGTTAGAGGAACTTATTTATGCAAAAGGCATACAGTAAAATTATTGCCAATTTTTTCAAATAGTTATCACAGTTAGGGACTGTTGTGGAGGGCTACACCAATAATAACAAATAATTAGTGTCGCCATCTGGAACAGTCCGTTTCTCATGTGGTCTCTTGGAAAAATGAAATGCCCACCACTGGTTTAGACCAGATGTTTTATCTTTGATCTACCTGTGAGTGCTACTGTTCATGATGGATGTTTTACCACAAAACAGTCGTAGGCTAATCGTGAATATGCACTTTTGACTGTCTGACTTCTTGGGTTCTTAACCTCTTTGAACTTTTTATTCCCAGATCTCAGCAATTACATTTACTGCCATGTTAACAGCTCTGCACCGTGCACAGTAAAGACACTAACGTTTGGTTGTTGAAATGTTCAGTTTCTCAGGTATTTGGCTTTAAACTATTAGACAAAGAGAAAGTTTGGTCTTATGCTCCTCAGGTGACCATATTAATAAAAATCTTCATGCAGTCCAGCTCAGATTTTCTTTAAATATTTTAAAATGATGAGCTAAAAAATTATGATCACCTCTCTAATATGCTGTGCTCCGCCCTGTGGTTATCTGGCACTTTGTGGCAGATCCTCAAAGTCCTGTGAGTTGCGAGGCGGTGCCAACGTGAATCCAAAAACATTCCCTCAAACCAAGTTGTTACAAAAGTGTTCTGACCCAGTAGTCTGGCCATCATGATAAAAATCTGGTCCTAGTCACAGACTCTCAGGTCTACACATGCAACTTTTCTCCCACATTCAACAAAATAACTGTGAGATCACTTATTGTCTAATATAGCTCAGAGAATCATTTCATCTGTGATCGGTTGTAATGTTTTAGCTCATCTGTGTAGATAAGACCCAAGTTTTAATAAACTGGACTTTAGCCATAAAGCGAGGCAAATACTCGTGCATGTTGTTTTTCTCTAAAATAATATTTATTTAGAGGCAATAGTACACAAGATATCCACCAACAAATCTAAAGCTGATAGTGTAGCAGAATCATGAAACATGTGCATGAGACCAGCAGTCGATCTCTCTTTCATCCAAACACACACACGGTGCCTGAGGCCAGCCGGTGTTTGTACTCATAGAGGTAGTAGGAGGCTTGAGGGAAGTTGCATTTCATCTCCATCCTGCCCGGCACAACATGGACGGCCACACCAGATCCCAACCCCTCCTGCAGCTTCTTCAGCATGCGGGAAGCCAGGTAGCGCCTAGCCCTGCCTGGGTCTTCTTCTATGGAAGCGTACACCTCAGGTGGTGGGTTGGGGATCTTCCATTCCAAATCCACGATGAGCTGGTGGATGCGGCTTTTATCCAGTGTAGTGGGTGTGTCCCGGTAGCACGCCACCACATGGGGGATAGGAGCTTCAGATGCCACGGAGAGCAAATTGCCAGGCTGTCGTTCTGTCGCTTCACCTTCATTTTCTCCTCCTTCCTCCTCCTCCTCCTCGGGTCCCACAGCGGGGTGGAGCATCACCGCCCAGCGCAGCCAATCGTAATTCTTCTCCAGGGTCTTCAGGATGCTCCCTGCCGCCTCGTCTGGGGGCAATCGGTTGTGGACGGCCTCCTGCAGCTGCTGCCGTATATCCTCTTCCGCCTGCTCCAGGAAGTAGCCTAAGCAGCGACCTCCCGTGTTCTTCATTTTCCTGTACAGGGCGCCCATACGGTCAGACCAGCTCTTGATAAGCAGAGCCTGGTCTCTTCCTGTTAGGGAAGCCTGAGTGAAGAGGCAGAGCAGACCAGTGCCCAGGACAAAATTTATCTGTCAGTAGAAAGAGGAGAAAAAGAACGTGAACATGTGAAAGTGTCCATGACCCATAAATCCTTTTAGTCTGAGAAAGTGGAACCACAGGAACAAAACAGCTCTTTAAGAAACATGCTTTTTGCCTTTAAATGGTGTAAATACACCTTTTCCCTCACCCTAACCCTGTATGTTGAAAAAAATGACAATGCACATGACAAACTGACTGTTCTCCTGGGACCCAGTCACCTTTCTGAGTAACAGCTGTAATTCATATTATAATCACTGCTCACAAGGCTTTAACAAACCTGACCTTTATGAGTAAGGCCTGCACCAAAAAAGCACTATGTGGACATCCAGTGTTAGTCAGGCTCCTTCAGTGACAACACAGAGGGTTCTTATAATAATAAAATAATAATAATCAAAGCATTATTATTTCAGGTTTGGGTAATTATCTTATGTAGATGTAAGATTTTGTCTGGTTTAAGACAAAATGACATCACCTTGGTTCTTGTTTCAGCACCAGAAGCATAATCACAGCAGATTACGTTATCACCTAAAATATGTTTATCTATGATAAGTTCTTCAAGGTTAAAGAAACTTGGCTGTAGTTTCTTTGATTAGCAAGGTCGGCTCTTCAGGCTTGACCACATGATTTGCAGCCAGGACTTTGATTACTATAGTTGATTCAAAATGTCCTTCTCTCAAAGTAAACCCTGCAGCTATATACACTGTGTGCAAAATAAGCACCGTTTTCTCATTTTGTGGGGATAGGTTAATTGAACAATCTAAATTGCCCATAGGTGTAAATGCGGGAGTGAATGTGAGTGCGACTGGTTGTCTGTCTCTGTGTGTTGGCCCTGCAACAGACTGGTGACCTGTCCAGGGTGTACCCCGCCTCTCGCCCTATGACAGCCACACCATGAGGGCAAATTTTGCAACTATCATTTCACATCAGTTAGCTCGCAGTGCTTTTATATAAGTGCACTTGTGCAAATCAGTCCTTGAAAAGAGAAACGTGCAAACAAATTTACTCATTCGGCACCGTTTACAAGCAGAAGCTGCTTCAGCATTAAGGCTAATCCACACTTAAGCCCTTTAATAAGTGGACTCTGGACTGATTTGACTTTCTTGGATGGAAACTCTTCTCTTCACTGTGGTGATGACTGAAGAAAACAACTGTTCTAAATGGACAAGCAGCGCAAAGTATGCACACTTCCTTTAACACCGTCTTACATTTTGTTTATAACAAGGAGGTCAGTGCTGACCCCACGCAGCCAATTATGGTTTAAGATAATCATCTAACTGCTTTTATATAACAAACAAGCCTGTGACTTCTGGGAGATTAATTTCCTGTAAAATTGGACAGTCATTATATAGCAGACTGGCTCTGTGTGTCTTGCCAAGGGGAATGACAGATGGACTAAAGGACCCACAGTGACCATCAGGTCACTTTTAAATGTAAGAAATAGAAAAAAGTCTGTTTGATTCTGTGCATAAAGGAGGAAAATGCTTTTATGGTAATAAAACCAGTAACCTTTCAGTTTCTTTACAAGCAACTAATGATTTTTTTTAATTTTAGCTTTAAAGCCTGAGCTCTTCATCCATCGAAGCAAGGGACAGAACACATTTGTTCCCAGCACAGGCAAAGGTGGAATTTGCCGACTCAGCTAACGAGAAAGACAAGAGAAGGTCACAGCGAAGATTAAATATTCAGTTTATTTTCATAGCAAGAAGACAGATGCAGCATGCTTCATTCCCCACGGGACCTCAGTGCCTTTCTGTCACATTTATCTTTTTTGCTATGAAAACAAATAGTTAATCCGGTACAGCTGTGCTTCTCACTGCATTTTCCTCTCCTGCATTTTTTCCATAACTTGTTCTCTGTGGGATTGGATATATTTGTGCTGTTATTTATGTGACTGCATCTAACATAGAGTCTTCATTTTTGGATCTTATATAATGAAGTTCCAGGGTTGTTTTTTAATTATATATTTTTTCCTTTCTCTTGGTTTGTACTTGATTGATACCAAACTGCTTTAGACCTTGAAACTGAGGGCGTGTTGAAAAAGTGACCAGTTCTTTTTTTTTTCCAGACTGTCCTTCAATGGGCTGTTTGAAGTATTTTGGGGGTGAGGTTCGAAGCAAGTTTATGTTTGATCAGGGGTCCAAATAATGCATTTTGCCAGTGAAGGTTCTCACAAAGATAAATGTGCCAAAAAAAAAAGTGTGTGTGCATTTGTGCATAAGATTGCTGTATCACCTCAGGCTTGCGTGCCTGTGCATAATGAAAGTCAAATAAGAAAAAAATGAAACTTTAATGACCCCGACTCCCTGCAGCCAAATGAGTTAATCACAAATACCCCTCCACACCAAGCACCACCCTTCCATAATCAGCATTGCACATCCACTAACCTTGACGCAGAACTCGCTCAGCTCCCAGCGTTTGGGCTTGCGGCTCAGTATGACCTCCTCCAGCAGCGGGGGCTGGTCTGTCAGCGCCGACACTCCCATTAGACGATTGTAGAGTGCTGTTAGCTGCCTCTCCAGCCGGTAATCCTGCACGTACTGCAGGAACACCTCAGTCTCCTTCTTGGTGAAGTCTGACTGGGCCCTCACCTAAAACAAGAGGAGATGGAGTGCATCTAAAATCCAGTGGTTCAGGGCAATAATAAACTCTATACTTCAGTTTACTACAGGTCAAATTAAAAACATGACATTTTCCTTTTATATGAAGGAATGTTAGTAAATAATCTGGACAAGGACACATAAAGCTTTTCCGGTTCTCACACTCGACACCTTTTCTATCAATTTAGGTGTTTGCACTCGCATTTGGCAGCTTTTAGCTGATGAAGAGTCTCATTATCGCTCATCCGTTCACTCCAAAAATAACCAGCCACCCAGAAAATGACAGTGGGTAAACGTTTCCATGAATTCATTTGCTGCCTGTGTTTTTGTTACCACCCCACCTTGCCACCCTATCCACCACCAGCACCAAATTCAAATACCTGTAAACTTATGACATAACCGAATGCCACACTTAGCCGCGGAAATAATTAAAGAGAAAAATAGAAGGCGTAAGCCTGTTAATACGAGTCAGTGGAAATGAGCAGATGCTTTAATCATACATCTGGTCCCATATTTTTACATAATACACTCACAGTGATGAATTCAAATGCAGTCCCAGTGTAAGCTTAGGGGAAAAAAGTCTTTGTGCTTTACTTTTAAATATTTTTACTCTTCAGGCTTTATATATGTCAATTTATGGCCATAATACTGTTTTACATCCACCAGGGCTTCCAAGTCCTTCAGACAATTTGATTAAAAAGACACTTCCCAGGATTAATTTCACCTTAGAGAACTGACGGTGAAGCTAGCAATTGAAAATTTGGCCCAGGTTTTGATAAATAAAACTGCTTCCAGTCAGAATAGGGTCCAGAGGTTGGAAACTTCACATATATTAGACTATAGGCGTATGTAAGAAAAGTGTTTTGAGTAGAAAAGGAGAGCACAGGCAGGATTTCTTTTTAGCATTTTTTTTAATTTTCCTTGATTTTAATTGTGGATTATTCTGTCTGTGTATGCTTTTATGTGAATGTATTTATTTATTTGTCTGTCATGGGATCAGTGAATAAAGATAAAATGTTCACGTCCCAGAACTTGAGGCATGATGTTCCAGTTGCTCATTTTATCTGCATACTCATTAAATAATTATATAATAAAATTATCACCATTGCTAATGAAATACTTGCTTTTATGGTCTCTTTTCTAGACTTTGCATCATTTATTCAGCTATATTACACAACCTTGCACATAAAATTGTGTTTATGAGGTCGTAGAGTTTTCTCACCGCAGTGCCCAGCTGGTAGTACACCACAGCCAGGTCGTTCTCCAGCTGATGGACCTCCTGGTCCTTCAGCAGGCCGTAGCTCGTTGCTCCCAGCTCCTGGTCGATGTGGTCCAAGTTCTTCTTGGCCAGCTCAGTCTCCTCTTGTGTAGCACTGCCCCCAAGATAGGAACAGATGCCCTGGACCAAGACCCTGTGCACAGCAAGTAAGTAAAGACACTCCTGGTTTAGCCCTCAAAAAAAAAAGGACAAAAAAACGTTTGTATATAACAATAAGTTTGCATAGCTACAATGTGAATTATCATGTCAAAGAGGAAGACCCACCTCACAGTCTGCATGTAGCCCACTGGCTCCAAAACCTTTCCAAACATCGCCATGGCTCCTGAGCTGTCCTCTGGAAGGTTATCTAAGGAGAAAATGAACAGTTGAGATTTAAAAATGATGGACGTTGGTGTAAATCACTGTGACATTTACCAGATCAAAAATCCTCTGGTTCTTTTTACACCTCACCTCACTTGTTTGGTGTGCAGGTTTGTGCTGACCTTCACAGTGCGCTATTTATATACAATCAGTGTATCTGATAAGCGCCTTCCACCTACAATACCTTTCTGAACTTGAAAGGAAGAAAAAAGTGATGCGTACAGATTAATGTAAAGCTAGATTAACATTTGTGAAATGCTGAGCGGTGCATGTTCGCCTGTGCACATGTATTGCAGGTGTTATATTTTCACATAATACCTGTATAAATAGTACATGTCATTTTCCAATCGTTTAGTCCAGTGCAGATCCAGGCTGTGGAAACAAACACAAGATCCTCTATTCATCAGAGGTTCCCTGGGTTCAGTTTCTCTGGGTCTATACAGCTCCATCTCCTGGCTGCATGGTCTCAGTATTTAACCTTTTATCCGGGTTATTTCTGGGGCATGTGGAGCCAAACAATATTGACATCTCTTTAAAATGGAGGCAACTGAATGTGTTAATATAGACCTGGAGCATTATCTCACATAAAAGGAGGGGTCATCTTCTATTTATCCTGAAATATAGCATTGCAGACTATTCAAAATAACATATAATGTACAAAAAAAGTGCAGCTAATCTTTATACTTGCTACACGTGATATCCTTCTCTGTTCCATTCTGATTATCTGCACAGCATTTTGAATTGAATTCTCCAGAAACATCTTCTGATGTAGGTTGCATAAAAGGTCAGGGAGTATTAAGAAAAAAAAACGTTGAAATGGAGTCAAGTCGATTGAGAATGATTAAACAATATAATAAATATTTCAGTGTCACAATGCAGAGCACGATATGAAGAAGTAACCATATATTTATGCCACTAAAATGCACTGTCAAATAGAAAAATATCAAACGTTCGTCAGTTTTACCTTGTCTGTTAACACCGGGGGCGCGAATAAAACCCTTTGCACGTTAAACACCAAAACCAAAGAAGAAGAAGAAGTCTCTTCCGCTTAATACCGGAAGAGGCGCCAAAATTGAAATTTCTTTCTTTCTGCCGACGTAGAAACGATAAACAAACGGCCTTTGAAGGTCTGACGTCGGTTTCAGAGTAACTGAGTGCGCTTTTGCTACTGTCAGACTTTTGCCTGAAAATGGACTCGACTACACAATTCTTCAGCAAGCTGAAAAAGCTGGCAGTGACTCTGGAATCTGAGACTGCCAAGCTGCAGCTCGCATTTGAAAACCGCAATAGCGGCGACGACGACGACGACAGCGGTGAGAAACACGCTGACACACAGGCTGCTTAAATCGCTTACAGTGAAGTCATCGCACATATCTCAATAGGAATTCTTTTCTATTTCAGAAAAGACAGCCAGAGCGATGCGAGCCTATCATGAACTGAACTGTGACGTAGGAAACCTGAAGGTAAAAGTTAGCACGCCTTTTTTTTTTATTTCATCTAAAGGTAGCGACATATACACACGTTAGCGTGACAATGCAATATTTTATCAGCAGCTGCAACAAAGATCGTTAAATGCGTTATGTAAAATTAACCAAATGCATTCAAAAGTCCTGCACTCAAAATCTTACTTTAGGCAAACTTTGTATTTAACATATTAAAGGTATAACTGTGGTGATGCACGATTATCTATTATACTTTTACATCCTTTACAGTAGCTCCCAACTCAGAGACAGACCCTTTCAAAAGGCCAAGATAAATGTGGTTATTCTCTAATTATTGCCTGTCTTTTAAATATAGTTTGGCCAGCATCGTTATAAAAGCAAGTCTTGTCATTTGAAATGCCTGAGTGCACTTGTTCAGGCAGTTATTCAGAAGGCATAAAAATGAAATTCCATTTCTTTACTGGGTAACTGCGTAAAAACGTTATTGATTTTACCTACAAAATGACTACCCGTTATTTATTACTGCAGGTAAAACCATTTTGCTATTGTTGAGCTCTCCACTGAAGTGAGAATAATATAAAGTCTTTACCTGCCAAAGGTTATCCACGTCTTTGACTTCTGTTAACTGAACGCTTATTTCAAGCATCATAAGGAATATCTGTGTGTCATTTATAAACCGATTATTCATAGCAATATTTTTATTGAAGACTAATATTGTAAATTGGTCGGGCGGTTCATTTTTGAATGGTGGGTGCTCATCACTTCTAGTCTCTTCTCGGGTAGGGACAGATGCAGGATGCCTTGGCTCAGCAGAAAGCAAAGAATAATGAGGCGAGCAGCTTCATTAAGGCGTGTAGAGTAATGGAGCAGAAAGTCTTCAAGGACATCGAGAGGCTGAAGAGACACTGCGAGAACTATGGTTACCAAGCTCCCTGTGACACCCAGAGATCAACCAGTAAGTATTAACAATGGCAAAATGACTACATAACACTGGTAATCATGTGTAATGATTTCTTTTTACTTAAAAGAAAAGCAACATGCATTTATGGTGTTCTTATTGTGACTTTTTCTTATATAGAGCCTAAAGATCAGGCGGAGGAGGCTAAAGATGAAGAAGCAGATGACGACTCAGTAGAAGAGGAAAATCAGGAGGAGGATGGAGGGAATCCTTCCTCAGTGGCACCAAAACCAGAGCTGCCCAACACTGATGTGCTGCGAACTCCGCAGCTCTCTGATTTTGGTTTGTCTGAACTGCACCTAAAGAGAGTTCTGGCTGGGACTGAGTGGTGTTCAGAAGTTCCCCCAATGCCTGAGATGAACCTTCCTCAACCCTCACTCAAAGCATCTGTACCATCGCCCATGCCCATTACCCCCAAATGTAACCTGCGAATGGATGACTACGGACTCCAAACACCCCAGATGCATGACTTTGGCATCACAGAGCACACAATGTGTCTGAACAATGACTTCACCATGAATCTGTTCAAGAAGGCTGAGAACCACCCAAGGTAGAGTGGTATGAACTATAATGACCCCTGCCGGCCACACGCAGGGTTTGTAGGGTTACTACTGCAGGTCCTTTAAGACTTTACTGTGTAAAACTGCTTTATCCTGCTTTATGAGTCTCTTCTTGTTCAACAGACCATTACAGGACACAACTGAACCACCAGTGAACGCTTTAATAGACAGTTTGCAGACAAAAGGTATGAAACTGTCAACCTCATAGCTCTTCTTCACCCCACAATAGGTGACTGTCATCTACACTCATGGAAAAAAGAAAGTTTTCACAAAACTCTACGCTGTCCTGTTTAAAAACTAAGTACGCCCAATGATTCAGTTTATTGTAGACACATCTAGACCCATAACTTGAAGTAATAACTTGAAGTAAATATACAGACAATAACTTGAAGTAATTGTCTGTATAACTTTATCAGTCTGTCAGTTTGTCCTGGAGAAATTTTGGCCCACTCTTCTTTACAACATCAGGTCTGTGGCCATTTATGCACCGCTCTCTTAAGGTCTGCACTTTGATTGTACCATTGTTACATATTGATTCTTATCTTTGTCAGCCATTCTGTTGTTGATTTGCTGATATTCTTGGGATCGTTGTCCTGTTGCATGACCCAATATCAGCCAAGCTTTGGCTGTCGGACAGATGGTCTCACATTTGGTGCTAGAATCCTTTGGCATACAGAGAAATTCATGGTCGATGAATGACTTCAAGGTGTCCAGGACCTGTGTCTGCAAAACGATCCCAAATAATCACCCTGCCTGAATGCTATTTGATTAGCTGCTATTTAAGATCTTAGTTTCTGTGGAACGGTGTACTCACCTTTTCACAGGACTGAACAGAGTTCAGTGAAAACGTTTTTTTCACACAAATGTATAAAGTATACATCTTTAGTAAAGAAATCAGATGTCGTTACTATTCAGGAAACAAGATGTTTCTCTTCTTCAGTTGTCTTTTTCTTGAATGACTTTATCCAGCACTTAGTTTATGATCAGATGTTTCCCTTTGCATTTAGTTTCATCTTACATTTTCTAAACACAATGTTTTTTCGAGTGTTATAAACTATGTAAAATATCTTACTATTTATTTATTAGTAAGTTGTAAGTAATCTTATGTCATGACATATTCTGATGCCTGTTAATTAAAAAGTGCATGTTTGAATATGGTTATGTTTTCATTGTCTTATGTTAAATAATGATACAAAATCCCCAGTGTTTAGCCAGTGGAGACTACAAGTTTCCACATTACACTTGTGCAGTTTTTGTGCAGATTTTTTCACTACTTGGATCTGAAAAAAAAAGTGTACTGAACATTTTGTTCTGCGAAATCTGACGTCCAAAAGAGAAATAAAAAAACACTGACCAAGACGAGCTTTTCATAGAAAATGATCAGTTTTAAGTACTCGGGAACTACATTTGTTTTTATTAAATAGCTCAAGGCTTTGTCAGTGCACCATTTTTCTATCTGAAATTTTGCTTGTTTTTCAAAGATGCCACCTGAAGGTATTAAAAATTCTATACTATGTATTTACAATATCTAGTATTTTGAAAAATAAAAGTAGCACATGTAGAGAAACGGCACCAGGCTGTTAAGAGAAAGCACTGCAGTGAAATGGTTCTAAATAATCTTCCTGTGTGACATTGTTTTGATTACCTTCAGCTGAAAAACTGGAATCACCAGAGCCGCCTGTGTTTTGCACCCCGGGGTTCAAGATCAAAAAGACAAACGGTCACTCCTCTCCAACTGCACAAGACACTGGTGTCCCAGAATTCCCCTGTCACCCTGGCAACCTACCTGCCACACCCGAAGTCCCAGCATTTCAAACGCCGTACGTGAACCGACTAGTCAGTACCAAAAAGGTAAGAAATAAAATGTAACTGTGTGTGTTTTTGTTTCTGACATTTTGATTTCACATCACCTTTTTAATTTTATTTAATTTTTTTAGAGCACACAGCAGCCTGAGCCATCCGTTATGCAAACGGATAATGACACCCAGACCTTGGATCTTCCATCCCCACCTTGCAACAGGGCAGCTGGTTTCAAACGCACCTGGGAATATGATGTGCCTGATATATCCACCACGGGTTTAGAGGACAAGCAGATGCCAGTGATGCCCAACCTAGAGTCTGCTTTGGGAAATTCTTTACAAAGTGTAAGACGAACAGGAAAACATTTACTTTTAACCAGAGATGCTCACAGCTTTATGGCAAACAATATGACTAGTCAGCTGTAATATGACTAGATTTTATCAAAGGTTGGTTAAATAAAATGAACTGTAATTTCCAGAAGGGAAACGTCCTTCTTATAGTAACGTAACTGACTAATATAGCTTCTAAAAAATGTTTTCAGTCCATCATAATATATCAAAATATTTTTTAATTTTGAGTCTGACCACAAGAAAATTTTAAGAAAAAAAGTGTAACAAAAAAATGAAAAGCATCTTACTAGCAAACAAATTCTGTTGTTTTACATGAAGTCAAAAATAAGCTAAAATTGCTCATTTGATTTTTCATTCCTGTGCACAGATGAGATTTATCAAAATGTAAATTGAAACATGTTTAAAGGTCAAAGTTTTTCCTGTCATTTACAGAGCAATGGGAAAATCCTGAAGTTCAGTGAGAATGAAAAGGTGGCTAAGAAGCCCAATGTCAACAGCCTGGAGTTGGATGGACTCACCCAGGAGTTCAGCTTGGGGACACCTCGTATAAGAGCACACTACCAAGAGCCAACCACCCCGGAGATGCCAGACCTGAGCTCTGTCACACAGGACATCTGTAAAGTTAGTCTGGTTTAGTCCCATAAAAGCACTTTTGAAATCCATAGGTTTGCTGTTTGCAGATAAATTCATGTTCCTTGTTGACGTGAATGTTACATAACATCTATAATTTGTAAAATTTCCTCTCGTGCTCTTTCCTCC